TGTTTGGCGGGTCCGGGCTGGGGATTCGAACCCACCACCTTAGGTGTACGTGGCTGGCGCCTTAGCCCGGTGAGCTATAGGCGCCGAGCCTATTCATACTTTAGTGTTACAACAAAGGCACTTGAAAAATGACCAGAATGAGAATTTTTCTTCTTTTTTTGGGTGACTGAGTCTAAGTGTCATCAAGTCTTCATAGCTCACAGCAACCTCAAACTCCTGGGTTTAAGTGATCCTCTTGCTTCAGCCTCCCACGTAGCCCAGGTTATAAGTATCTGCTACAATGTTCAGCTAGTTTTTCTTTTCTCTCTTTTTTTTTTAGTGGAGAATAGGGTCTTGCTCAGGCTGGTCTCAAAACTCCCAAGCTTAAGGAACCCACATGCCTCAGCCTCCCAGAGTGTTAGGATTACAGACATAAGCCACCACAGCCAGCCCTCTGCAGATGTTTTGAAAAGCATGTTTGCTAAACCTTAAATCCTTCCCAATAAAGATAACAGTAAAATAAGTTTATTCACGTGTCTCCTGACCTCTCTTTAGAGAACTCTGCATCTGGGTATTGTGGAATTAACCAAGAGTGCCCATCAGAATCACCTTTGGAAGTTTTTTTCAAAGCACCTATTTCCCATCTTAGAACTAGAGAATTAGAATTTCTGGGACTGGGCCCCGTACCTGTGGCTCAGTTCCTAGAGCACTGTCCATATACATTGGGGCTGGTGGGTTTGAACCTGGCCCGGCCTGCCAAACAACAATAACAGCTACAACAAAAAAATAGCCAAGCATTGTGACGAGTACCTGTAGTCCCAGCTACTTGGGAGGCTGAGGTAAGAGAATTGCTTAAGCCCAAGAGTTTAAGGTTGCTGTGAGCTGTGATGCCATAGCACTCTACCAAAGACATAGTGAGACTCTCTCTCAAAAAAAAAAAAAAAATTTCTGGGACTGGAATGTGAGCATATGTTTTGTTTTTTGAAAAAGCGTTCTAGGCTCGGCGCCTATAGCTCAACCGGCTAAGGCGCCAGCCACGTACACCTAAGGTGGCGGGTTCGAATCCCCAGCCCGGACCCGCCAAACAACAATAATGGCTGCAACCAAAAAATAGCCGGGCGTTGTGGCGGGCGCCTGTGGTCCCAGCTACTTGGGAGGCAGAGGCAGGAGACTCGCTTGAGGCCAGGAGTTGGAGGTTGCTATGAGCTGTAATGCCATGGCACTCTACCCAGGGGGACAGCTTGAGGCTCTGTCTCAAAAAAAAAAAGAAAGAAAAAGCATTCTAGGTCATTCTGATATGCTCCCCTAATGAAAGACCATTTATCTCAGTGAGTATGGAGTATAATAGTCTGGAGATAATTTTAATACTTTAATTTTGGTTATTTTACTTTCATCTGTAGTTCATAACTCACTCCTTACTTTGCCATTTTTTAAGCCTATCAACATTTGTAACTTTTATTGAAAAGTCATACTATTTTTTTTTTTTTTTTTTTGAGACAGAGTCTCACTTTGTTGCCCTCAGTAGTGCCTTGGCATCACAGGGACTATGGGCACTTGTTGCAGCACCCAGCTATTTTTGTAGATGAGGTCTTGCCTCTGGCTTAGGTTGGTCTCGAACTTGTAAGCTTAGGCATTCCACCGGCCTAGGCCCTCCAGAGTGTTAGGAGTATAGGTGTGAGCCACCACAGTGCACTGAAAAGTCATACATTTTGACTTGATATTTCTATATTTCCCCTAAGGGTAAAGAATAAAGTGTTTTTGGCTTGATATTTACTCTGTAAGTTAATACTCTGATGGAGTTTATTTCATATTATTTTTTAGAGACAGAGTCTCACTCTGTTACCCAGGCTGGAGTGCAATGGCATAATTATAGCTGACTGCAGCCTCAAATTCCTGGGCTCAAGCAGTGTTCCTGTCTTAGCTTCCTGAGTGGTTAGGGCAACAGGCATGGGCCAGTACACCTAGCACTTTTTTTTTTTTTTTTTTAAGTAGGTCTTACTATGTTGCCCAGGCTGATCTCAAACTCTTGGCCTACTACCTTGGCCTCCCAAAGTTCTGGGATTATAGGTATGAACAGAGCCTGATTTCTGATGGAATTTTGAATGAAAATTTTCAAATTAGACTGGAGTTCTATTTAAATGCAGAATTTTAGGAAATATTAAACTCCTTTAGTCATCTGATTCAGATTTTATTCTGAATTCTAATTTACCCTGGATTTTGCTTTTCCAGATACTGGCTTTGGCACTACTACTGGCGGGGCTTTTGGAACATCTGCTTTTGGTTCTAGCAACAATACTGGAGGCCTATTTGGAAATACACAGACCAAACCAGGTAAGGGCTTAATTTCGAATACAACTGATTTATTTGTAACAGGTAGGGGCTTTAGTAAGTGGCTCTAATTTATTTAACTTTCCCCTCTTCTCCATCTCCTCAGGAGGATTATTTGGTACCAACTCATTTAGCCAGCCAGCCACTTCCACAAGCACTGGCTTTGGATTTGGTACATCAACAGGAACATCGAATAGCCTGTTTGGAACTGCAAGCACAGGGACCAGTCTTTTCTCATCCCAAAACAATGCCTTTGCACAAAATAAACCAACTGGCTTTGGGAGTAAGTAGAACATCACTGGATTTCTGCATCTTATAATTTAGTTTGCTTAATGAGTATTTTGTCTTTTCTACTCCCTATGTTCATTCACCTCCTTTTCCTACCAAATGGTAAAACATGGGAAGAGGAAAATTTCAAAATGTGTTGAAAAGTTTGGTCAGTGCCTGTGGCTCAGTGAGTAGGACGCTGGCCCCATATAATGAGGGTGGTGGGTTCAAACCCGGGCCCTGCCAAACTGCAACAAAAAAATAGCCGGGTGTTGTGGTGGGCGCCTGTAGTCCCAGCTACTCATGAGGCTGAGGCAAGAGAATCACCTAAGCCCAAGAGCTGGGGGTTGCTCTGAGCTGTGATGTCACAGCACTCTACCAAGGGTGACAAAGTGAGACTCTGGCACTAGTATTTAAGACATAGGTAGAGGAAGAGCTACTTGATACAGGATGGCCAAAGAGAGGATAAAAAGCCAGGTCAGAGTAGTGGTTTTGTTTGTTTGTTTGTTTGTTTGTTTGTTTTTGAGACAGCCTCAAGCTGTTGCCCTGGGTAGAGTGCTGTAGCATCACAGCAACCTCCAACTCTGGGCTCAAGCAAGTCTCCTGCTTCCTCCTCCCAAGTAGCTGGGACTACAGGTGCCTGCTACAATGCCTGGCTATTTTTTGGTTGCAGCTGTCATTGTTGTTTGGCGTGCTGGGGCTGGATTCAAATCCACTAGCTCAGGTGTATGGCTGGTACCTTAGCCGCTTGAGCCACAGGCGCTGAGCCAGAGTAGTGTTTTTTGATGTTAAGACAGAAGAATTTTAAGGAGAAATGAGTTATAGTCAATAGTGTTGTGCTACAGAGGCACTTTCTTCTTGCCCTCTCTTTCATTTGGTATGAAGAGATTAGAGCAAGGATGACAAATATTGGACATGACAGTTTTTCCTTCATTTCTTGTCCATGGCAGATGTTTTTAATTGATGGCTTCTTCCTCTTTTAGTCTAAATGTGACCTGGGGCCAATTCTCTACACTGTACTGTACTTAGAGACCTGTACTCAAAGTACTGTACCTGATCACTGTTAGTCTGTAAGAGTAAGAATGTGACAAAGTGAATAGTTAGCCAGCTATCACTATGTTCCAGAATGACAGTTGGTTATGGGATGTTGAAATATTTAACCTTGACAGTGTAAAATCTAATCTAAAGTTCTAATTCAAAAGAGATCTGCTTTTATTAGGATGTTTTTTAAAAATAATAAGTTTGCTCATGAGAAATCATAATCCTCTTAACTTTGTAATTAGAATTTCACTTAATACTAAATATTGACCACATTGTTGTTGCTTACCGATATTTCTTTCTTTTTTTTTTTTTTTGTAGAGACAGTCTCATCTTATTGCTCTCTAAGTAGAGTGCTGTGGTGTCACAGCTCACAGCAACCTCCAACTCCTGGGCT